TTAGAAAGACTTAAGGGAACGCTCCTAGTCCGGAGTCCATTGTCTGCATGATCATTGCCTAAGTTGAACCGTGGACGTGGTACATTCCCAAGCGTTTCACCGACATCGTAGTCGGCATCGTCAGTTAGTATCACCATTCTTAGCACCATACAACAACTCGTCAGAGACAAGTGAAGCCGATCGTTTGACCAAACGTATGCTAAACAATTGTGGTATCTCTTCTGTCCTGGTTTATTCGCGTTTCCGGTAGCATCCTATCATGCCTTCACTGTTACAATTTTTACCGTGTTTATTAAGATATGAGGTGGTGTGCTTCTTTGAGCGACATGACTTGTCCTTTTGACGAGTTGTTGTATGGTGCTAAGAATGGCGATACTTACTGACGATGCTGGCTAAACGTTTGGGAATGTACTACGTCCATGGTTCAACTTTGGAAATAATCATGAAGACAATGGACTCCGGACTAGGTGCGTCCCTCTAAGTCTTCCTACCAATATGACCATGTTGCGAAAACAAGGTCAAACAACCTCTATCTTATTTATTCTTATTGCAATGCTCTTTCCCATAACCGTATAAACTTACTTCTATCACTATTAACTTAGTTATCAGTTCCTTCACAAACGCCAATATAGCCCTTTATTTTTTCATAAAATTTGTTTTGCTCCTTTAAATCTCCTTTAAACGAATTGCAAGCTACGAAAAAATAATAACCAAGGGTACCTTAGGGATGTCATCCTGATTCTATTTTGTTTGATATTTTTTCCATTTGCAAATAAACACAAAAAAATATTATATGTTTATTTGTCTAAGCACTATCAGCAAGTTCTACAAAAACAAAAATAAGCATTCCTTCCTACTAAAATCCTTTATATGCTCTTGCCGTATATTCAACAAAGTGAATGCGTTCCTCGGTTAGTTGGTACTACCTTCTTAACATCGGCTGTTGACTCTCTACAACTTATTGATCAAGCGCTATCCTGTGATGCTGATCCAGGCTCTTCTGCGTACCGACTACGACAGCTTGCCCACCTACCTCTACCTGACTGGCTGATTGACTGGGATAACTGGCACGAAGCCCAATTGAGTCATGTTAACCCCTTCAGACAAGGCTCCTTAGGTAAGAATAGAGGGAAACCTCAAACTACGAGACCATATTCCCTTCGAGCAACTCGAGATTTGTGCGCTAATTTGGTAAATACCACTTGTAAAGCGCTTGCTCTTAAATGACTTGCTTCTCCCCATTTTTCCATATCTATGCATACATAGGGACGATTATATATCCTGTGGATGCATTTATTAATATTTGAATGTAGATACTTTTATGTATATTTATACGATTTATGACCAATTATAATCATTTGTACAGAGCCTCAAAACAAGCATTATTTAAGCGTACATTCATTCAATTAACTTTTTTATCACTTTATATATTACAATATACTATTATTCCATACCCTATTGTGATTTTTGGTTGATAAAAATTAGAGCAGATAATGCCCCTCTGGTATCCCATTTTTTCTTAGGCATTAAGCTATGGTACATTAGCCTCTTACTAGCAAGGCAAATTCTGGTTAAATAGACTCTTAAATCTACTCACTGAAGATTATTTGCAATTCGAAGTGATCTCTATTTGCGTGGCTTCACTTCAAATTGTGACAAGATACGCTTGATTACACAACAAAAAATTGTTTGTGATTTGTCTTGTCCTTTCAATTAGTTTCATATTAAGATATCTGATTGAAATTTCCTGTAAATTTTACCTCTTGATATCACTATAATACAGCTATTTTTTAAACTCTCTCTCCCAAAATGCTTATTGATCCTAACCTGTTTAATGGAAATGTCACGAATTCCTCGTATTTAACATTTATGCAACAAGGGAAACATGAACATCTTTGTTGATAAAAGAGTACACTTCACTACGCCTCTTTTTCCATTTTTAATAATAGGAGTCCCTAGTGAGAAATCGGTTAACAAGCCCATATGAGTTGCAGACCGGGCAATAGCCATCAATGAAGCAAATTTTTATTTGCCGCAATCCATTACATAACTTATATTCACATTGCTTAGGTTCCGAAATCACTAGTGACGTTCTGGTAGAATATAGAAATTATACGATACGCGTAGTGGATTCTG